TCCCATGGAAACAGTTATGAATGAGAAGGCCCCAGTAACGTGTGTGTGAGAGGACAGAGAGAGAGGAGGAGAAATAGAGCAAGCCAATGAGAGCAGTCTGTGCAGGAGCTGCTGCAGTAACCTGTTTTTCACTACTGCAGATGATCAATCATCCAGCAAAGCCTTGAGACACAAGAACTCTCTCTCTCCTCACACGCTGATATTCTCTCTCTCTCTTCACAGCTGTTCTCTCTTTGCTGTGGTGGGTAAATGGTGGATGTGTCTTTCAGCTGAGGAGCACTTTAAAGATGAAATGATATGTCCCCTCTCAACACCTCAGCCCTGGTCCTTTGATATAATGCACATTGATAGCCCTTTTTCTCTTTAATTTCTGATAGAATATGCTGAACAAAACATCTAAATTTGATGTAAAACAGCTGCAACATCAAGCTCAGTGTGCATAAATACACCATTTACGCACACACAGTATGGTTAAATGATTGAAATAGCAAAAATAGTGTGAAAAGACCTTCCTGTCCACGGATACATTAGCTGAAATGCAGCTATTCAAAAAAATATTTGTCATTCCTGATTGAGGTTGCAATTGCATCCAAAAGTAATGTAAAGCTAATTATAATTATAATCACAAATTACTCCTCTTCTCATTCTATGCTTTATATTTATTAATCTCATGTTTAGTGTTAACAAATGCTTCTTAACATTGACTCTTAAAATTGATTTTTCAGAACAAATTATGCTATTTATTATGCAGTTTATCACATATACTAAAGGGACCATTGATGGTACTAACTTGTTTTAACAGGGAATGTATTAGTGTCAAGTTCACCTTACCTAGTCATCTGCTAATGTGTGTGTGTGTACCTGGTATTTCCTACATTATGGAGACCAAATGTCCCCACAAGGATAGTAATATCAGTAATTTTTGACCGTACAGGGACATTTTTTTTAGGTCCCCATGAGGAAAACAGCTTATAAATCATGCAGAATTAAGTAAAAAAAAAAAAAAAAAAAAAAAATTCTAAAATAGAAGAAATGTTTTCTGTGAGGGTCTGTTTAATTTTCAAAAAATAATATCTATGTATTGGACAGATTGTAGAGCATGTGAATGCTATATGTTTATAAATCCATCAAACGCAGTGATGCTGAGATTCTATCAATGAGAAATGGCTCTTGTTCCCATGGAAACAGTTATGAATGAGAAGGCCCCAGTAACCGTAGAAACTGTCTGAATGAGGAATTGCCGGTTGCTATGGGAATATGGTGTATTGCGGTGAGAGTCATCCTCATCGGCTCTCTAAACAAACAAAAAACTTCAATATATTTTTGACTTCACTGCTGGTACAGTATCTGTAGAGCACTGGAAACTAAATGGTAGTGCTTTGACTAGTAGCAGCACTGACCTACATTTACATCCATTGTTACAAAAAAAAACAACACTTTCCCTCACTTTCCCTTCTTTTTTCTCTTACTCCCAGCCGTACACATTCTCCCACACTCACAGTGCGTGTCTGGGATTGTGGTGAGATGGATTGGCAGATGCCTCCCAGTGGGCTGCCTCCTGTCAGTGCAGTGTAGATACTTGTGAGTCCTCCTCTGTATCCCATAAACCCAATCTGCCAGGTTCTATGGGGGCTCCACTGGAGCCCACACACCCACTGTTCAACTTGCTAATCCTCCCAAGCTCAAAACAGCAAGGCATCTCTCTCAGCACACCCAGCCTAGTGGAAAGAACAGACACTTTATGTATCTTTACAGTTGGGGGGGGGTTTAAACTTAGATTACCTGGGTGCCTCTAGCTAAGTGGTTTATTTTATTTTATGTACACTGCACATGTACACTAACTGCTAGGCCTGTTTTGTTTTTATGAACAACACATTAATTTATTACTTTATTTGATCTGGTTTGGCTGTGTCTGCCTCTTCTTTTTTTTCTCTTTTTTTCTTGGTAACACTTTATTTTAAGGTGTCCGTGTTACACGTTACATGTACTTACTATTATAATAACAATTAATATTGCATAATTACATGCAAGTAGCCCTAAGCCAAACCCAAATCCTAACCCTAACCATATAGTAAGTACATGTAGTTAATTAATATTACTCAGTGCTTATATGTATAATTACACTGTAACAAGGACACCTTAAAATAAAGTGTAACCTTTTTTTCTTTTTTTTTTAGGGTCATTAAAAATGTTAACTCAAGCCATTAGGTAGGGGTGTGCAATATGACTTTGATCTTTGATTGATTTTTGATCGTGGATGATTAAAATGTCTCCACGATCTGCTTTTGAAGAAATATCGTAGTATCGTGCTACAGTGCACATTCTATCAGTTGCAGTTCTGGCGCCTCCGTCTCAATATACTGTACAACGTGACATTCATTCACATTAAATGTTACCCAGCGGTAGAGTAACACTCATGGGACACTGCACTTCACACAGTCACAAAAGTACATTATTTGCATGTGCTTTAAAGGGGACATATCATGAAAATCTGACTTTTTCCGTGTACAAGTGCTATAATCGGGTCTCCGGTGCATCTACCAACCCAGAAAAGGTGAAAAAGGACAACCCAGTAACTTCTTCTTGGTAAGCCTTTCTCTGCAAGCATGTAAAAAAACAAGCTGCTCAGATTTCGCTCCCCTAGTGACATAGGAAGGGGATCATATTATAATATCACTGCCCCTTAATCTGCACGTTTCCACCCACGGCGCTGCTGTTACTTAATATACAGATCTAATGTAAACATGCGATTTCTTTCCCAGCTGTTTACGTTCACCGACATAACCGACTTTGTTTTTGGAACTTATGTGTTTTTAACATAAACCTGTGTGTATTTGACAGTTTAAGCGCAATAAGACATGAAAGAAACTCACAGTTTAATACTCACATGCCATGTGATAGCCGCTTCCTGTGCGTGTGCTTCGGATGTGTGCGCGCAGAAAACCCTATATCAGAAGTTCAAACTGATATGGCTTTAAAACGCATGATTTCAGCGTGATATACATGATAATCAAAACCAAACAGATGTTTTTTTGTCATAGTATTTAAGGTACGAGCTGTAAAGTCACAGCCTTATTCTGGAAAACGGGGCGGGGAGCAGAAGCTCATTTGCATTTAAAGATACAGGCAAGAAAACAGCGTGTTTCTGCTTCCACTCACAATAGGCATTTTCAAAATAATATAATAAATTATCTGTGGGGTATTTTGAGCTGAAACTTCACAGACACATTCTGGGGACACCTGAGACTTATATTACATGTTGGGCATAATAGGTGCCCTTTAAAGCCTTGTTGGTTAAACATTTCATTCGCGTGCTGTTCTGACATGCACTTTTTCTGAGCGCGTACACCTGAAGCGTGCACACACTAAAAAGCCTGTCAAACAGCACCTGATTTCTGGACTAAGTTATCTTTTGCGTCTGATTGCGCTAATAGTGTCAAAAACAAACAAGGTTTACATATAAGCACAGTTGGTTATTTCTAAAAATGAAAGTAAACAGTTGATAGAAAAACGGATGCATGCCTGTATATTAGTTGCGTGTCTTAAAGCGACAGCAGACTAATAGAAATAAACATGCTGCCGCTTGTCATTAAAGGGATAGTTCACCCAAAAATTAAATTTTTGTCATTATTTACTCACTCACATGTTGTCCCAAATCTGTATTAATTTCTTTCTTGTGCTGAACACAAAAGAAGATATTTTTTGAAGAATCTGGATAACCATGAAGAATGAAGGATAACCTTAATGGAAATATAAGGGTTTGCGTGAAGGTTAGGAACAGGGTTGCGAACCAAAAGTATCATTAGCTCATTATAAAACAGTAGAAGTCAATGAAAAGTTCCCACCCTCATAGAAAAACAAGTGCGTGAGTGTGTTAGAGAACGGGAGAGAAAGTGTTGTATAATAAGTCAGGTACAGCTGACAGTGGTGGCTCTCAGACTGCAGCTCTATAAATAGACGAAGAAAGATGGGAATAAATCAGCCACTCAGCATCTTCCTCTCACTCTCATTCAGCTCCTCCCCTTTCTCTGTTCCCTCTTCCTCCTCCAACCCCCTTTGGCTCTCTTTCTTCACCTCCTCCCCTGCTCTGTTCATTCTCTCTCTCCCCCTTTCTTTCTCATTTGGCTTTCTGTCCATCCTCAGTAATTTACATTAATATTAACTGCATAACCAGTCCTCCTTCAGCCTCTCCTATGTCCGTACGTTGCTTTTTTTCTGTCCTGTTTTGCTTTTAGTTTGTTCTGTTGAACACAAAGATGAAGGCAGCGGTCGACACTCATATCAAAGCAGTTTTAGACAGGTTGTAATATGTCAAGGGTCATTGTCCTATATGCCATGCCCATTGAAGCTGATTTAAGTTGTGAGCTGTCGCCAGAAAACAGAGTTAAAAACTGATATGTTACTGCTGCAGCCGTGGGTATGAATGTTGATTACATTTCCTGTGTTATATGTATCACTAGCAGCGATGCTGTATCGATTCAGTTGGAATCACATCTTTGTTCTTCTCTGCATGTTATAACTGAAGAGAATCAGTTTCCAGTGACTTTCCTGCACAAATAAAGGTCATATAAATACAAAGCAGCGGTATCCACATTTATCTTTATTCTCTGCGCATGGACCTCTTGACATTCACTCTGTGGGGGGGACGGGCAGTGTGTGCCATCCTCTCTGAAACCATTAGTCCCCATTGCTTATTTTCTTTGAGCCCATAGTCTTGGATTCACATGCTGTAGAGTAGACATCTGACCAGGGGAAGCCTTAGTACTGTATGGTCATTTAGGATTTTCACTTTATCAGTGTTCAGAATGGGCATTATTTTAGTCTGGATGCAAATAGGTTTACATGAGCCTGGATTAAGCACCTTTGTCTGCCTTTACACATGCTTTTCTTGATTCAAAAAAAGCTAAACTGTCACTAAAAGCAAATCCTGTATGAGTGGAAGGGCTGCTGTTTACCACAATATCCTAGGTTAAACTTAACCTCTTTTCTTGTCTCTCCAGAATCCTGTCCACAGTGGGCTCAGACTTTGATCTGAGGACGCTGCGTGCTGTTCGAGTGTTGAGACCCCTCAAACTGGTGTCTGGGATTCCCAGTGAGTAACATTTTGTCATAATTTCCTCATGTATATGTACAGGTGTTGGACAAACTAATGTGAACACCCATTATTATAGGGGTTAATATAATTTGTGTAGGCTAGTACAAGCTATGGGTGAAAGGGTGACTTGTCAGACTTCCAACAAGGTCAAATCTTTTTGTTTTTAAGAACAAAAGTCTTTATGATCATAACTGTGTACACGAAGCATAGCAAGACTTTATCAGCAAAGAAGAATAGTGGGTGAAAACTGAAAGTGAGTGATAGGGACTATCGAACACCAAGAAGGGTTTTTGTCCAAACAACACAGAACTACTGAAGGAAAGTGACAGCAAACCTTTATTTTTCACCTTGGAGACACTGTATCCACAAAAACTGTCCACAGAGAACTTCACAAAGCCAACATCCATGAAAAAGCTGTAATTGATAAAACTTTAATCACAGGCGCCAATACTAAAATTTGAAAAAAGATGGTGTCATGATCATAAAACCTGGACAGTTGGAGCACCAAGACACACTTCAACGACTGGTTATTTTAATCACTTAAATATTCTGATGTGATTTGTACTAAAAAAAAAATGCCTTCACTGGATGCATCACACTAGGTTTGATCTCACTGAAGACACATGGCATGTCACATGACCAGTTTGATGTGTTTAAAAATGCACCTGCAAATGTGATATGAGAGCTCGGTTAAAGGGGAGGGTTCAATTGTGTTAGGTTCCTCAAATAAAACTATCACATGACCTGAATAGAGTTGAATATAGTGCAGAATAAGGATTGCTCTTATGATGCCGATGCAGTGTATTTGAAGTACGATATCTATAAGTTTACGTTATACCCTTTGTGCCCATTATAGCCTCTGCCAAGCTTTGCAATTAAATTTAATGCTGGGAAAAAAATAAATAAACTAAACTAAACTAAACTAAACTAAAGCCGTTGACAATTTTTATGTGCTTGCTCTCTTTCTTTTCTTCCAGGCTTGCAGGTTGTGCTTAAATCCATCATGAAGGCCATGATCCCTCTGCTGCAGATCGGTCTGTTGCTCTTCTTTGCCATCCTCATGTTCGCCATCATTGGTCTGGAGTTCTACATGGGCAAATTTCACACTACTTGCTTTGACAAAATCACCGGTAGGCCTCTATGTGCTTGTTCTCACTCGTAGACTTATTCATTCATGATCTCCAAAACTGTCACTATCACAAACAGACCAATTTAATTATGTCTGAAAAAAAAAAACCTTTTCTTTCTGATAGATGAGATCCGGGAGGAGTTTCCATGTGGGAAAGAGGCTCCCGCTCGGACGTGTCCTAATGGAACAGAATGTAAAAAGTACTGGATTGGACCTAACTATGGAATTACCCAGTTTGACAACATCCTGTTTGCCGTGCTCACAGTCTTCCAGTGCATCACCATGGAGGGCTGGACTGACCTGTTATACTATGTAAGTCACATTGCAAAACTTCACTAAAGAGCTTCCTAATTGGATTTTTTGACTTACGCTTAAATAGACCCCAAACAGAACATATCAGGAGTAGCACTAAGCAATGATTTATTTTGATTTGCAGTGTAATCTGAATATCTGTGTTAATACTGGAGGTGACCAAAATCTTATTTTATGAGTCACTTTTTATGAGGAAAATTGTATGTTTTTCAATGATTGAATGACTTGAATACTTAAATTATTATTCACATGAATGACAAGAGAATGTTTCAAGAGAAATGTTCAGTTCTGATTGTTCTAAACTGCTTATACATACATGCATACATACACACTACATACACACACTACACAATATTGTTCATTTGCTTGATCAAAAATACAATAAAAACGGTTAATTGGGAAATTGTGAGCAATTTTAAGTATTAATGTTTTCTATTTTAATATATTTAAAAATGTAATGTATTCCAGTGATGGCAAAACTGAATTTTCAGCATCATTACTCCAGTCTTCAGTGTCACATGATCCTTCAGAAATCATTCTAATATGCTGATTTGCTGCTCAAGAAACATTTCTTATTGCAATCAATGTTGAAAACAGTTGTGCTGCTTAATATTTTTGTGGAAACTGGGATGCCTTCCGAATTCTTGGATAAATAGAAAGTTGAAAAGAACAGCATTTATTGGAATAAGACATTTTTTGCAACAGTGTAAAAGGTTTTACTGTCACTTTTGATCAGTTGCATTCTTGTTGAAAAAAAGTATTCATTTCTTTTTAATATATATTATTATAGCAGCACAGCACTCATTGTGCATGAAGTGTAAAAAACACTTTTGTCTCAGATGGGCTTGAAATAGGTGGGCCTCACCTTTTAACCCTGGCATCCTGTATTATTTTGGTTTTGATTAATCCTCAGCATAGAGGATTACTAATTTCTTTTACTTAAAGTTTATTAGAAAGTAACCAATCTAAGGGACTGAACAGCCCCACCTAATCCACATCCCCTGTATCTTTCAGTCGCAGACATACAGTAAGCAAAATCTCGCCTTATAGAGTCAAAGACGGTGCAGTGCATTTATAGTTTTACCGCTCATGGCCAGCCTGTCCACTCTGAACAGAGAGTGCTGTTTCCGGTGAGTTCACCCGCCCTCTGTGACAGAAAATAGGGCAGTGATGTCAATGCTTTGTTCAAGGTTTTCACAAACTAATGATGTTACCTCAGAGACCAGTTTAATCCCAATGTCACGTCAATCCATCTCACAAATCAACAGCAGATTTACCTGAAGGATTAAAGGTTTGTTTTTAGAAATGATCTTGCCAATGAGAATTAGCCTGAGGATGGTGATTCCATATGACTAAGGCTTGCAGATCTGTAGAGCCCAATCAGATGTCGTCATCTCTCACGTCATCCCTTATTTGGTCTTACTGTATTTTTATCCGTTTTCTTTTTATTACTCTTGCTGCTTGGCTCGCTGTACCCCCAATTTTTACTTGCCCCAGCTTTTTTCTTCCTCCTGTTTCCCTCCTCTCTCCCGTGAACGGGGCTCTATATATAACAGACCCTGCTCAACTGAAGTTATTCTTACAGCTGCTGAGAAAGAACCCTATGAAAATTTAATTGCAAAAAAGCTGCAGTACATACTGGGGCTTTCAGAGCTCTTAGACATGCAGATAGAGTGAAGGAGCGGACGAAAAGGAAGTGGGGCAGATCAAGGGAGACAGAAAAAAGGACAGGGAGGAAGACGATGGGGCATAGCTACAATAAAATGCAATTGGATATTACAAATATTGTTGGTTCTTTGACAAATTGCTTTAGTTCTTTTCGATTTGCATTAAAGCGTCTGCAAAATGCATAAATGTAAATAGAAAATTAAATCTGAAGATCTCAGCAGATTCAGCTGGGTTATTTTAAAATATCCTTAAAGGATGAGCTAGTTTACTTCAGATATGAGTTCCAAACCCATATGACTTATGGGTTTTTTGGAACGCAAATGGAAATATTTAGCAGAATTTCCAGGCTGCTTTTTACAATCAGTGAAAGTGTTAGATTTTCAATGAATGCCAACAACTTTCAGTCTGTTCCTCATACACAGCTATTGTAAGCTTCAGAACACATGAAAAATAATGCACACTAGGGCTGCACGATAAATTGCATGCGATATTTAACGCGCATCTTGTCAGTAAAGCCGGTTCTGTAATCAGCGGTAAATCTCCATCACGTGCGGGCTTTCACATGGAGCAGCATTTACTAAACAGAGCCGTTGTTCACTGACAAGCTGCGTAAAACCACGATCATATTTTGCGCATGTTTTGCGCAGCTTGTCAGTGAACAACGGCTCTGTTTAGTTAATGCTGCTCCATGTGAAAGCCCGCACGTGATGGAGATTTACCGCTGATTACAGAACCAGCTTTACTGGCAAGATGCGCATTAAATATCGCATGCGATTAATCGTGCAGCCCTAGAAAAGAGGACAAACAAAAGCTCAAGAGACACAAGTGTAAAACCAAGCTTTTTACAGCTATTATTAAACTACTTTATCTGTGAGACTTCAATCTAATATTTAAAGAAGGCCTCAAGATGGAGAAAATCATTGTATGATCATTAATAAAATATCTCCAAATATTACATGGGCAAAAAAGGACCAAGCCAAGGATTGTGTTAAATTTGAAAGAAATT